GCCTGCAGAATGCTTCTTTGCTCGTTGACTCTCCTCAATACTTCTTCGTTGGTCACTCGATCCGTCCACCTGATCTTCTCTATTCTTCTCCAACACCACATTTCGAAACTCTCCAGGTATTTCTGTTCATGTAGCCCTTGCATAACATTTAATTATTTGTTTAGAAAGGTTGAGTTCTATTAGCTTTATTCCTGGTCATTATGCCAATGACACAGATTTTAGTTTGGATAAAGCTGTCACTGATGAATTTCTGAATCATACAGTTCATTATGCAGTCATTTCTTCAGTCTAATGTTTAGATTTGAAGTGGGTGGAAGTTCAACTGAATTAACCTTACAAATAGAGGATGTTTAGATTTTGGAATATTATGCGACCTTGATATCTTAGCGCGTAGAAGTTGAGTCAACACAAATCGTAGCATGCACTGATTGAAATTACAGAGTTTGATGTGTGGCTCACTGATAACATGAACTGAGTAATTGTTCCTTGAAATATCTGTAGCACCCGCATGGGTTCAGCTTGGAAGCTATAGGAGCAATGTAACCTAGTTGCATATGTTATAGTTGGTGGGGCAGTCTTTGAGGTTCTACCTAAGGGTCTCACTTCATCTCTGTGGTACTCCAAAATCAACTTCTCTGTAAGTCTATATTGGGACTACCATTTAGTAATATTGCCTTTCGTTGTTTTGTACAAGAAATATGATTTGATGCAATAGTTGTAAATCAAATTCCAATAGTGTTTGGGATAGTACATTTTAACTGTTTTCTAGTGCTACAGTAGCTAACCAACTAAGCGTCACTCATATCCACTTTTCTCGTCATCGAATCATAGTCAACGTCTACTCTGGGCTTCCTGATGTCTTGATCTTGAAATCTAGTTTGAACATATTTTTTGTCTTGAGTGATACTCATATCTTTGTTTGTCCTGGTATACTGGCACATTTTCTCCTTTTTAAATTTTGACTTTTTATTTCAAGAGGCGCTTCCTGAATTGATGCAATTTTTCCATGACATCAGTCTTTTTGCTGTATAGCTTACTATACAGATCACGACTTTAAAACCATTTGTTCGTGGTCTCATAGTATCCCTGACTGAGAAAGGTGACCATCAGTTCGAATGTTACTTTTGAATCATGAGACTTATTTCCTTAGTATATAAAATTCCTCACATAACTTAATTTAGTTTTACACAGTTCAAATGACTTATTCCAAATCTAGCTCATTTTGATGTATACCTTCAGAGATAACCATCCTTTCCTTGTCATCAGCGACTCATCCATTGACATTTCACGCTTTAGAGTGTATGCACTCCCAAACCTGTCATTCAAATTTTATAGTGTAAGTTTCAGTTTGTACAACCTCCTAGAATTGCTTGTGGTTTCTTCGTAATTTTTAGGAAATTAAAAACTTGAGTAGAAAGTGAAACCTTCTCTCAGGAAATAGTTTTGAAAATATAGGCATTTCTAATATTTCCCTCTGGTAAAATAACTTTTATTGTCAGATTTAAATAGAGTATGTGGTTTCTCAACCCTACCTTTGTCCATCGATCATGGTGCATTTCACAGTCATCATCATTAGAACTGTCATTTTTTTTTTCTATCACACAAAAATTTCACAACCATATCACTGTCATTATCACTAATATCACCAAAGTTATCTTAGTTCCATAGATTATTGTAAATTTCATCATCTAATCATATACTATCGCTAGGTCCCGCCATAACACTGGAAGGCTTCTAAACACCTTACGCTAATCGGAACTAAGAAGAAAGAATAATGAGTCCAGTGTGTGTTTATGTAACCAAAAATTGTCATATATGCTGCGGCTAAGCAGAGGATTGGGCATGATGTGAAAATGTTATACCCCCTGCATTAAAAGTAGTGCCTGACATGTGGACATGGCATACACCCTAGAGTGGTTGATTACCTGATAATGTTAAATAGGAATGTGAACCATACTGTATTGCTTCTAATGTTTCTATTACATTACTTAACTGTTGCAGTGAAACCATATCAGTTCAAACATTCCACTTTGTTCAGACTCAGCTTGAGAATTGCTACGACATGTTAACTTCTGACAAGAAGAAGACACTACTGTGGTCACGAAGGATGCATCTCGCTCTCAGGGCTTATCAGGTAAAAGAAATATTTGTCTGTGAAGGGAAATATCAGTATGTGGACCTAAGAGGGATGAATTAATAGGAGGGTGGAGAAAGTTGCATAATGAGAAGCTTCGTAAGTTGTACTCATCACCAATTATAATTAAATCAAGGAGGATGAGGTGGGTGAGAAGAGGAATGTATACAAGGTTTTTGTGGGAAAGCCAGAAGGAAAGACCACTAGGAGGACATAGATGTAGGTGGGAGAACAATATTAAAATGAATCTTAGAAAAATGGGATGGGGTGATGTGGACTGGATCATTGAGCTCAGGATAGGGACCAGTGGCGGACTCTTGTGAACACGGTAATGAACCATTGGGTTCCATAAAATGTTGGGAACTTCTTGAGTGGCTTAGGGATTGTTGGTTTCTCAGGAAGGGCTTGGCTCCGTGGAGTAAGTAAGGTGGTTGCACTTAATCCTTCTTTAACCATTTTCTTTTGTTGATAGCATTTTTTATATTATTTTTTTGTTTAATATGATTATGTAATAAATATTACTGTATGTATATATTATTATTATTTTTTTTTTTTTTCTTACTACTGTTTGTACATTACCGCCACGGTGGTCTAGCGGTTGTAATCCTGGGGTCTCGGGTTCGATTCCCGGCGGTGCCCGAATTTATAACTTGTGTTGGGCAAGGCCGTGGTCTAGGCAACACGGAGTTTTCCTCCGTGGCATCCCAACAATTACTCCATTCACACACAGAAGAAGGCAATGGCAAACCACTTCTGGATCATCTGCCAAGAACGTATATGAACAGGTCCCAGTCCGAGAAAAGGATGGAAGGATCCTGTTCATATGGACCTGTCGTCAGACAGAACACTAAATAAATAATAAATAAAACTGCTCTTTTGTGCTGTATCTGGAATTGTCCCTTTGGCTGTTAGTGCACCACATTAATAATAATGTTATTGTTGTTATTGAACTTCATTGATAATGATGATGGTTAGAAATTCTGATTATTGTTTATTTCTAATTGCTCTCATTGGGAATTACCATAATTATGTTTTGTTTCTCATGTCTGCCTCGTAAATAATTTTGGGTCCAGTTGACAGACTTTCATTAAATTTTATATAAATGTCATGCTGCCAAAGGATAACCCACCGTTGTACCTCTTCATTTCCTGTCATCAGTATTACCAACATTGTAGCCATGTGAACTTCTGAGATGGTAGAAACACCATTATTATATAATGTTGGGCCTTTAAATATAGTGTGGCAATAGTTCTATGAAATGGATGCAACCTTTGTTAATGCATAAATCCTGTGGATTATGAAACAACGTATTGACTCCTTAAAAATCTCTGTTTAGCATTTATGTGTCTTTTGCTAGTAACGCTGAAAAACTTTTGGAGCACTACATGTGAAATTTTGTATTGAAATATTGTGTATTTTACAAATTTTTTAGGAAATATTTTTTTAAATTTAAAACATCGTAAGTGTGGCGATGGTTCATTCTATGTAGGTTTTATGTGGCAAGTCCCTCAGAAGGTCTGTTATGCTGAAAATTTGCGCAGAACTAGGAAACAGATTTATATGTTGTTTAATGTATAGTTCCTGCTCATCTCACAGTATAGATTAAAGCATTTAAAGAGAATTAGGTGTGCTGAGTTCTTCTCAGAATTTCTTGTTTATATTTATACAAAAACATGTTTTCTGTAAATGAAATATTTTACTTCTGAATTGTATCGCAGGAATTGCTGATGACATTGACAGCTATGGACAAATCTGACAACTCAACAGTACGGGAATCATCAAAAGTCATCAAGAACAACATTTTCTATGTAGTTGAATATCGGGAGCTGATTCTGATGTTGCTTCTCAATTTTGATGAGGTTAAGTTCACAAAGTAAGTTTTGCAGTTGTCGTATAAACAGTGTATACTGCCAGTTGTATCTCATTAACTGGGCAACCAAGCCCTTCCATATCATGTCCGTCCTCTCTTCCCACAGCTCCTCCTCTTTAGTTTTATTCCGTGATCGTACTTCTTCAAGTGTGACATCTTTCCTTGCTTGTTTTTTCCCATTACCCTTTTACTGTTACGTTGAGTACCTGTGTTCATTCTTAAAATGTGTCCATATCATTCCATGCTTTTATTTGTTCAATTCTCTTTTAAAGCTTCAAATACTCTCTAGTATTTTGGTTTTTTATTTTCTCCAATTGTATTTTTAGGTGTCCTTTACGCTTTAACATAAGTTAAGAACACTTCGTGCATATGTTCACCCCACCTGTCTGTATATGTGATTGGTGCGTGCTTCAGCCACCAATTCCGCTGAAAACTGTTATAACGTGCGTATGTTCCCCACACCTTTTTGGGATATCTCAGTTCTTAAATGTATCTTTCAGAAACTGGTTAATTTTGGCTGCATCTTTTATTTTTCCTGTATTTTCTTTTTTAACATTTCCATTTTAATTTGTGCGTCACTATGTCATCTGCGTGTACCATAATTATTGGTAATATTCTCTCTTATCATTCTGTTGATGTGCTTGTTATCTCGTTTAGTAATAGCTGTGGAGAGAAAAACATTTCTCTTTGTCTAACCCCTTTATATGTTAGGAAACTTTGAGATTTTTTGCTGTTAATGCCCACATTATTTTGGTACGTGTTCTTTATTCTGTCAGAGTTCATTTAATACATTTTACCTGTACAGTGCTTCCGATATCTCCTGTGTGATTGTGTTAACCATGTGCTTCATGAATAGCGTGTCTTTGCAGATCCAAGTTGTTTTTAATCCTGATTCTTATTTAAGACGTCCCAGATTCTAATCCTGACCCAGAGATGTGCTATCCTGATAGTGATCTCTTGTAGTTATGTACCATGGGCACATCTTTCAATATCCTTTCCAATTTATTAATTATCTATCATTTTATGCTGGATGACTGACATTGTGATTAAATAAATGATAAGTAAATGTTTTCTAGAGATCTCGCTGATTGTGAAAATGACGTTAACCATATGGTTCTCAGATTTTATTTTACACCTGTTGTCTGACTTTCATATTTATGATTCTCATATATATTTTTAAATAGTTTTAAGCTTTATAATCTGTCTGTAATGTCTGCATTCTGTTTTATCTTCTTCTTTATGAATTGGAATGATCAGACACATCACACCTTCATAGAGGGATTTTTGTATTAAAAGGTGTGTAAATTATCGTAAGTAAGTACTGTAATAACCTGGAATGGAAGTACTTCCTTAACCTCTTTCGTTGTCTGTGGCCTGTTGCTCTGTCCACATATAATTTTGGTTTTATTGAACAGAATTTAGTAGAGATTATATATGCTAAAACTTATGTAATTTTGAAACCACATTTTTCCACGCATGAAGATGACAATTTTTATTTCTCCTAGTTCTATTTGTGAGCTACTCATCTGTTTTGGTGTAATTACCCCACGTCAAAACTTGCCAAGAAAATTACTTGTTGTGTCGGATCATTTTGTCAGTGTAGATGAGAGAAGAAACTATCTAATAAAAAATGTGCCACATTTGTCACTTAATCTACTATAGGCAAACCTTTGCTGCTGTTTCTTCTTCTTTTTCTTCTCCCCAAGATAGTATCTACTGACAGCATAGATATTTTAGCATTTTATAGTTGTAATGTTGGCGATCTTAAACAAGGAAAGAAGATGAAGTTTCAGGAGTTAAAATGAGAAGCTGAGAATAGGGAAAATTGGCGAACTCTTTTTGGGCAGAACAATGGACCTGTCGTCAGACAGAACACTAAATAATAACAAGGATTTCCGGCGGTGCCCGAATTTATAACTTGTTTTGGGCAAGGCCGTGGTCTAGGCAACACTGAGTTTTCTCCGTGGCATCCCAACAATTACTCATTACTCCATACACACAGAAGAAGGCAATGGCAAATCACTTCTGGATCATCTGCCAAGAACGTATATGAACAGGTCCCAGTCCGAGAAAAGGATGGAAGGATCCTGTTCATATGGACCTGTCGTCAGACAGAACACTAAATAATAATAATAATAATAGTAATGTTGGCTTCTTTTGTTTTGTATTGCAGGTCCTACTTGAAGGATCTCATAGAAACAGCTCACATCTTTTTGAAATTACTGGAACATTTCAGTTCAAATCGTAGCATTGTTGTCCAGAAACGCACCGTTTCTAGAAAATACAAGAAGAAAAGTGAGTATTGGATATTCTCTGCAGATACGTGTGTACATCGAGACTGAGAAACTCAAAAGTTTATTGGAAGCTTTTAATTTTTCAGGTGCACATATAAACTCTTATTGTGATGAGTATTTCTCTTACACTTTTTACATTCTCACTTCAGGTTAAGAAGGAATAATATTCAACATTTTAAGTTTTTTGTTCCAAAAAAAGAATCTAGGTTTAGATTAGACATTCTGCATACCTTTATTTTTAGAAATCTAGCATTTTTTTTAATAGTTATGTTGCGAAGTATAGTTGAGGGAGATATTCTAATAGAAATAACTGATCACATACGCGCATCCTTCCACCTCAGTTCAACTAATTTTGGAAAAATAGTTGCACATAAGAACACCAAAATCTGTACAACTTTGTGTGTAAGCAGTGTAGTCCCTTCAGAAGTAGTGTTCATTTTGAGAGTTTTCTGTGAATTAACTTTGAACATACACTTCCTTTTTGATAACGACGTATTGTATAGAAACCGGCACTATGTAATTTTTCCCAAGGTTTAGTCTGCCATAATTCTAAAAGCATTAGTTGCGTGCACCAGAAAGTTGTTGGCCTGTAAGGATACTTACTGAGTATATTTGCCTTATTGCTCTTGGAAATCAGTTTCATGGTGTGCTTGTGCACTTTTTCGTAAGGAGTCTCACATCATTAAACTCTTGGATAGATACAACACACATTTATTGACTTCACATGGAATGACCCACACTTTGAAAAAGAACTTGCTAACCCTGTCCATAGCAATTTGGGATCTGTAAGTGAATCGTACTTGCTTATGGTAGTATCCATTTTAGAGTAAAGTTGTGTCTGCTAACCATGGACTTCTCTTCATATTGATACAAGATGTAGGATATCCAGTGATGATGATATGGGTTAACTAACTAACTAACCAGATGGCTTACCGAACCCGAAGGTTCATCACCGAATTAACCAAAGCCCTCCACCGGACCCTGTCCTGGGCCAACAAAATCCAGTCTCCTTCAACTCCTGTCTCCCATAGATCCCGCCTGAGATTATCCTCCCATCTACGTCTAGGTCTCCCCAGAGGTCTCTCCCCCTCAGGCTTCCCAGTGCACACCTCTTGTCCGATCCATGTGCGCTACATGCCCCGCCCATCTCATTCTTCTCGACTTAATCACCTTGACAATATTGGGGGAGGAGTACAGATTTTTAAGCTCGTCATTATGCAGTTTTCTCCACGCCCCATCGTCTTCTCTCTTAGGCCCAAATATCCTCCTCAACACCCGATTCTCCAACACCTGCAATCTGTGTTCCTCCCTCTTGAGTGAGAGACCATGATATGGGTTATCTGTTTAATTGTGAATAGATTTTGTGATTTGATGAGCAGTATTTCAAATTATGCTTGATTTTACAAAATAATGGACATGTATGTAATCAGCTGTTGCCCCCAAATTAAGTGATTTTTCTCTTGTTTTACATCATTTTATGTGTTGTGTAGTAATAGAACTGTTCCGATACAGGATGTAGACTGAAAGAAAAATAACTGAACTTCAGCTGTAAGATGGAAAGGGTAAGGGGGAGCAAGACAGCAAAGTCTGAGCATGTATAGTGTAACTGAAAACTTTTTTCCCTTTTTTATATCAACATAGCTGATGGCATTTTCATACTCTGGCTACACTGTTTTTTGTGAGCAAAAGGAACAATACAATATTAGCAATATATGCACACACCTTAATCTGCACGAGATGCTTCTATAGCCTAAACGTAATATTTTCACATCTTACAGGAAACAAGAAGGGACTGGGTTATCTCTCTATGTGCTATCCCTTTGTGGTTCCGCCCACTTATGTATTTGTAATGGTCGGTAAGCTCAGAGTTACGTTGTGGTCACTATACGAAAGTTTGGCAGTATAGTGATACTCCTACCCTTATCTCAATCTCATTATGTTCCTTTCCCACCCTGTGCAAGGCAGATAGATGCAGCATGTAGTTATGATTCTGACTCAAGACAGGGCTAATGAATGTTTCCATTCTATTATAATTAATGGATAGTTTATTAGTGGTGACCTAATGGTTAAGGGTATTTATTTGTCAGATGATGGCAGCGAAGTACCTCGCTAGGGTGGTACATGGCAGTGTCCATGTCATGGGTAGCCACCACTGTACTGTCAGTGGCTACAGAATATGCTGCAAAGATCCCAGTGATAACATTACAAATGATCGATAGCAATGCTAAATTATATTTGGTGGCACCAGTGTTTACTACTTGAAATTGGCCAGTTGACTTCAAAATTAATGTTAATTTTCAACACACAAACACAAATTAGTAGTGTAGTAGAATTTAGCGAACTTGTATCTGTTGTTGTGGACTAGGACAGCACGAGCTGAATGTAGGCTATGATTTCTCTTCCTTGTTCTGAGTCACCAAACCACCTGTCCCGCGAGTACTTGGCAGTGGGACGATAAACACTGATCTCCATCGAGTACTGAGGTTAATGCTTGTGACTAGGCATCAGAGTCTATATATTGAACTTTATATGTATCTGGCTTGTAGTAGGATTATTAAAGAGAGTGGATGCAGATATACAGTGAGCACACATTTTCTCAGACTTAGTTGTAAAAATGATGAAATGTTTGGAGTTCAGTTTGAACTTCAGAGACAATTAAAAACAGTTCAGACACTGCATTTTTATATTCCTACTTTGCATGACAGAATGTTTAGCTTTCTGTAAGATTTGAGGTTTTCACAGCGGTGAGTATGAAGATTTCCGTCTTCT